TTTGGTGTCGCATTAATTTATAGATGCCAAGGTAGAGATACGATTAGAATTGTTTATGGAAACTTTCCATTTATTCCAAACTCTCCTTTATGTCTGTGGCAAGCGTTTTGTGCCTCACTAATCCAAAATGTTCTCTCTCCAGGTGTGTATTGTGATTGATTCATGTTTTGTAGAACAACTGTATGAATAATATCTCTCACTAATTCTTGATGCTAATGCACCGCTAACCCTCACCATTTTTATGACCATGGGGCGTAATGATAGTGCTCTCTCGTGGCCGTGTAGTCTGTTCTGCTGCAGTAAGAGTTAGGGTATTCTCGTCTCTTCGAAGTGCTTCATTAGTTAGTTAGTCCCGCCCAACGAAGTAAAAGAAACTAGTCGCCGATTCTTGTAAAGAAAAGAACCTTAGCAAATAGTGCACGACCTGAGCACTAGAGAAAACAAAACTATCATACACGTTTAATTTGATTTACTCTTTATGTAAGTAGGGAGTTCGATTTCCTTGGTGCAGAAGGGTAAATTAACAGTCTGCACTTTGTTTTCACAATCAGAGACTTTGTAATAACACAAAAGCGTCTGAAGCCATCGGCTATCTGAAGTTGTTTATCGGCGGCTTTTTCTGGAGCATATGCAATAGTTGGCGCTTGGGTTGTGGCTCTCATGTTTGCTTGTTCGCTCATACCTATGTTGGATGAATTGGGTACACTTGTGAGGATAGATGCAACTATTTTCAGTGTGGTTTTATATCCCTCCCATGTTACTGTAGTTAGTGTAATATTCCAATATCGCTGGCATAAATATCAAAATCACAAACAGGGGTGATGTAACATGAACCGGTATTACTGCCTAGGTACTTCAGTATCAAAACGACTGTTAACCCGGCTACCACAGAAAATGCATTCAAATGCTGTGTTGCCGAGGACGCGGCACGGCCACCGTTATTATCTTCTTCAGAAGACAGTATTTTTGTTAACTAGTTTCACTAGAAGTAGGGATCTAGGTAGGAGAGCAATTCTAACTAATTGTTTGGGGACTGTTTCTCCGCTTGTGTCGAGTGATCGTTATTTCACATATTACAGTGAGGTTCATTATCTAACGCTTTCTGAGTTTTCTTATAATCCTAAATATGGAACAGATATTCAGTGTTTGACAAGGCTTTTACCAGTAACACCTAATATAACTCCTACCTACTAAGAGAAATCAAAAGACAGGATCGAGGAGATCAGAAGTTGTATTTGACGATTGCCAATATATCGGAACTGTCTTATCCAATCTGGCTAGCGATTGCATTAGCAGTTGAGCACGGCGTTCCCACACGTGATCTGGTGCGGATGCATGACCGAGCACCTTCAGCTAGGTGAGTCCACTAAAACTAATTTGATCAGCATCCAATGTCGAAAACTTACAGAGCTATTTATTTTGGGGATTTATTTACCGCTACAGTCCTTTAACTAGAAACAGGGATTTTCGACATATTACTTTGACTTAAGACCTCTATCCGTCTCCCTCGTAATTATACTGTTAGTACCGGTGGCAACGTTATTACTGTACATGCTACTCAATAGACCTACTACAACTTCTTATGAGACCAATGATTATAATGACAATAGTAATAATAATTTTCATAAAAAATTTGCCTCATTTTTACTCTTGTCACATACCCTCACACTTCTGTCTATGAACTTCAATTTATTTATTCTCTTGTTCAACTTATTGATGGTTTTTTCTTCACCCTCATTTTTACTCAACTGCATTCTAATTTCAGACTTTTCACTTTTCAACCAACCATTCTCCTGACCTGTAACGCGATTTGCGATGGCTTGAGCGGCTTTACTGTCTCACAGAAACGCGTCTACTTAAAGTCACGATGTGTCAATCAACAAATACCTGTTGAGTTCACTAAGGTAATTGCAATCGAGTGGTTGGAATACTCTCAGTGAGCGCTATTAAGGACCTGTAATCGTGCCGCAACATCGGAAACCGAGCAAAATATAATCATTCGATCCATAATAGCTCCTTATAAACATTTTTCAGATACAAGTTGGTTATGAACAACACGTTTTATATGATGGTCATTATGACAACGCATCGCACATATTTGAATGTTTAACTGCACATCAAGGTACTTTGTGAACGGAAAACAGAAAACGAAATTATATACCAGGACCTTGTTGTGCAGCCTGGATTTTTAAAATGTTGAACTTGTTTTATTAGATATATGCACTAACTTCATCCATTGTCCACAGACTCGTGAATTGTTTTTTTTCACATTATTTTGTCATGGAGAACGTAATATTCTTATGAGATTTATGACTTAAGAGCTATAGGATTTTAGAAGGTAAATGATTTAAGGGGTTTGCTCAGAAAATAGTTTATTTTTCACACGTAATGTGTTTCAGTATGTTTTTAAGCCGATATATTGACCGAAATACTGAATAAATATGTGGTGAAATATGGTCATTCAAGATGTTTGACCAATACCTTCGTGTATTCCGTTTCAGTTTCGGCTTTGATAACATTTGATGGTTAATAACTAAGTTTCATAGATTGTAGGATTGGTTTCATAGAATGTAGTGAAATTTGTTAATTTAATAAATGTCAAATTTGGCAAATTGTTTTACCATTGTTTATATCCTCTTGTCTCTTTCGACTATTTGGCTTGATTCCTCGAGAAAATCATTATGTTGTCTAAATCAGAAGATATCTGTGCCATCTTCGCTGTTGTTAGATTTTGACTGTTCATCATCTTGCAGCTAGACGATAATTCACCAAAATAATTGTATATCCTCTTAACTTGTTAACAGATAGACAATAAATAAAATTCATTTTGAAGGTTTTATTTTCTTTGCTAACAGTTTGAACGTAGAGGCGCAATCTGACATGAATATTTCGAGAGAGTGGTTATCGGACCAAAAATAATTGGTGAAAGCTAGGTTAATCATCCACAGAAACTCAGCTTTCACTGTGTCATTTGTAACTGATGACGTAGCGTGGGGATAAAATTCTATAGGTTCTTTTATCTCAGAACCTCGAACTACGTTTACCACTTTACCTGTGCATACCAAAGTGTATACATTAGAAGTATAGATATAAGAACAGATATCCACATTTCCATATATGCCTAAAGAATTTAAGAACGAGAGAAGTAACGGCTGCAAGTGGAACAGTAGGTCAGCATTAAATCGATACCAGGCGCAATGTTGATATTTTTGGATCCTTTAAAACCTTCGGCGAACAAAACAATCCGGCGTTTATACAATCTGCCGAATCAGCAACAATTAAAAATTCAAACTTAGTAAATGTTGTCAAAAAGAGACAGTAATAGATTTTTCGTTACTTTGATGAATTAATAGATTTGAATAACACCGCCCAAAACTGTTATTTATTAGTGTTTATCTCTTTGCAGAATCTTTGATAAACTAATTCTTACCATTCATTCATCGGTTTTTTCACCCGCTCAATCCTTCAGACTTACGTAAACTCTTCTTATGTTGTATAGTTACTACGGTAGCCTCAATTATGAATTAGAAGCTGACTACCTCACTGATCTAAATCTCCCATACACATTTTCAAGTGATCTAAAATTTAAGTAAACTGTTTACACGTTCCATAACTACTGCACAGTCCATCTTGTCCGCTTTTGGCCTCCATTTAGTTACCGCCTCACCTCTCACTGATTTTCAATCCCATCTTTAAATGGCCCTACGTATATTCATCGACAGATATATGTATATTATGGATGATCTTTGTTGTTCTAGTTCTTTTCGTCGCCAATGTCGATTGCTTCATATGACATATTATATCAATGTTACATTTCTATATATATACGGTTGTAAGCAGCTGATGGGAAACCATGAAATATAATCGATTGATATTATTCTGTTTTGAATGTTGTTTTTCTCTTTATCAAAATTTGTAAAAAAACAGTTGGACGAGATGAAAAAAATTTACCATAAATTTCTCTGAAGTTAGAGTTGTATAAAATATGTTTTGGCATCATATAGTCGAAAAATATCTTAGGTTTACTGAAAGAAATGTGGTCTTTTATGCCTATTATGACGAGACGAATGTTGTAACAGTTAAAGGCTGGTTTTTTGAACTATTTTTAAGTGTACTTTTGTTCAAAAATTACTGGGTAACTAGATTTCTATGTATTTATACTCCATTCATTGCGAGCTTTTTTTCATTCACTAACTGCTGTTATATGACTTGCTATTCCTAATTTGTTCCCAGTCTACTACTTAAAGTTTCTCCTGATCATAGATGGTCTTGGCCCGTTTATGTTTAAATAGTACTTTCCATATTATTGTCTAATGTGGTGTGGTATGTCTTGGTATACAACACATCTGTTCGGAACGTAAATATAGTCGAGGCTGAAGTCGCTACTTTGAACTGCGTCTAGGGTAAGTCACGTCATTTGAGTTAAATCGAGTGAATTACTACACTTGAACCTTGAGTGTGTGTCTCAAAGACACATCATACACCAAAGCAACAAAATTCCATCAATAACATCATTAATTTAATTTAGGTAAGCCAAATCAACTCCATGACTAAGTGTCGATCAAGACTAATCTTAGTTCACGATTGTCCTTCCCTGATAGAACTGTATATTCTACGCACTCTTAGTTGGTAATGAGACATCCAGATAAAAGCAGCAGTTTGATGGTTGAATCACCTTACATTTGATAATAATATCACAAGCTCTTAAATAAATAAACATATGGCTAGAAAAAGGGTACATAGTCTGTACTTCGTCATTGAGTTTAATAAAATCAGTGTAGTACATCACGCAAGCAAGATGTCACTTTCACAGTTCACATATCATTAGTTATTGTGCTAAATGCCCCATAAAATGTCATATTTAGTATAATTATGTGAAATGTTTTATGTTACTGCTCAACTTTCCCACGTTTCTTCTTTATTCATCTTCTTCAAAACAGTGCTTTTCTATGAATTTAAAACTATACGATTTCCAAATCTCAGAATTTATATAAGGCCTAATGACAACGGAAACACTGAAAGAGGAGGATATCGGTAATTGTGAATGCAGTGAAAAAATATCTGAGGAAAAGGTAAGTTGTCACTCAAAAACAATAATAACAATAACTTAAAAGACATGGCCAAGCCAAAACATCATAAAGGCAATGCCGGAAGTATTAGGCAAAATTTATTGATTGCATATTTATTAGGCATTTAGGTTTTATTGTTTAAGTACTACCCTAGTTTCAAGTTTTTATTTGAATTGTAAACTGTTGCTATAGCGTTTTCTACTCATAAACTAGAATTGGTTATTTATGTACCCAGTACTCTGTTTTTCTCATCATTACTGCTATTGTTCAGTGTTAGTACTGTTACTCTATAGGTCTGTTGCGTCGTCTAGTCTTATATATATATATATATATATAATGTCGGACTGACGATCATTTTTCTCGTGTTCTTCTTCTTTGTTCGGGATTAGATAGTATTAGGCCAACCGTCAAGCATAGAGTATCAATCACTTGTTGCGTATTGGTTGTTTAAAGTCATGTATGCGTATTAATCGATTGTAGGACATTACAGAAATGATTCTAAAAGTACGTTGTGGGGATCTTTCTTTCAATATTGTTTGAGTGCAGATGGACTCAGATTTAGAAACATATTTAAAACAGACTTGATCTTAACCTTTGATAATCCTCACTTGTCATATTATCTGTTTGATAATCCATAAGTTTTGTTGAGCTTATATTTCACAACAAATCAAATTCTTATCAAGCCAATTAAGCAGATGTTAAAACATTGCTGGTACTATGCATTTCACATATTGATCTCTGAAAACACCGGTTCATCCAAACATCTTTATGTGTTCAGCGCCATAATATTCTGGGTTAAACACGTTGAATAATTACAACAAGCAAATAATTTTATCACCTCATCGGTCAGTCAGTTATATGCGTCAGAGAGGTACTTAAAGTACTATGGTGTCTTCCTGATTATCAAAAGTAATGGACTGATATTTGATGGTTTGACGTAACTAACGGGAAGCTATGGACTAAGGTTTCTACAGTATTCAAAGAACTGATCTATTCTTTATAAGGCTTCCTGATGAGTATTAATTACATCATCTAGCGTTTTTTTGTGAGAAACTTGTTGAAATACCCTGTGCTGAGAATTCTATATTGTACCAAAATATAATATTGAATAAAGCCATTAATAATAATAATAATTCTGTTTATCTAGTCATATCAGCACAGGAAAATGAAATTATAGAGACAAATGCCTGATTAGTAGAAGTATTAATAACATCAGTAATAGCAGAGAAGACTAGATATTCCTAGTATCATTCAAGAAAGAATAAGTTTGCGGAATTGAAATCATGCGGTAATTTTAGAACTTAACATCAATGGAAAGACAAAGGATAAATGCATCTGAGCCATTTAATTTCATGTCTAATTTAATTTCATGTTTATTTAAACTCATAAACATTGGTCCAAGGAAGCATCGAACAGATGTGCACCACACTGAGTCATTTGGTCTGTGTGAGGGCTGGGATACTGTTCGGGTGCCCAAACCAAAGCATGTGGTTTTCTTAGGGGGCCACACCTGGAGCCTTAGACCTAAAGGTCTGATCCACAAGGCAGTAGAACATCGTAAGGAGATGCAGTTACATGGTTGTTGGTGACCAATTGCTGATTCATAAGCCATTTGTTCCTTCAGGATCCTGGAGTCCATGTGCACCATTGGTTTGGAATCAAGGTTTTCCAACTCCCCTAAGTGGATTCTCCATATCCAGCAGTTACATAATGTATGACTCATGAAAAAATGAATACATTAGACAGTAATTTACTCTGTAACATTCTGTAGAAATGAGATAGAAATCTGAAAATTTTAGAACCAATTCATAGAGTTCATTGATTACCGTTTAGAGATCTTATTATCTAACTGCTTATCCAAGAGACTGACCATTTAATGGTTATGAACTATTTTCATGATAATTGTTGTAAAACTGTTTATACAAGTTTCTGTTTATAAGATTAACATGTACAAATGTATATATTCTGATTGGTTACTCAGGGTCACAAGATTAATCAGTGTTAACATGTCCCTTTGTTTTACATAGCAATTCGCGGCCTACTTGAATATCTAGGCTATTTGATCCTTCCTTTTAGATATTTCGACACATTATCTGTTTTTGTTTGTTATAACACATCCTTATGCTTATTAATCACATAACCTATTAAGTTGGGTTTACGGAAGGTGTGCTACCTTCCGCTGTACAAGTTAGAGAAAAGCTCAATCGGAGACATAGTGGTTGCTGGTAATATGAAGTGAAAAGTATGTGCATTATTTAGATGTCGATTGACTGAACTGCTAACTTCCAACTGGCGACCATTCGATATCTTAATCAAATAAGGTTTTGTGGATATTATAGTAATTTAATAATTGAATTCATCGAGAAAAACCTTGAAGCACTAGACGGCCGTTCCGTCTTAGCATAGAACTCCTCACTAGTGTGCATTCACGATCCAACCTCGCGAGATTCGAACCCAGAACCTATCGATCTTGTGTGCAAACACTTAACCTCTAGATCACAGAGCAAGCACCAAGCGGTGTTAATGTCTAACTTCAACCAATCCACGAAATTCCACCACCATCCAACATTGTCTTCAATGAATTACTATCTCACAACAGACCCAGTTGAACTCCATTGGTCACTGTTTCTCACTAGAACTCTAGGAGATAACTCTTGTAGACAGTCACTAATGAGCATATGATGATTATAATCAGACAGGGGTTTAGCAAAGATTATAGTAATTTAATAATTGAAGCTAGACCACCATAGAATACCTAGAATCATTGGACAACCGTTTCATCTTAGTATGGAACTCCTCAGCAGTGTGTATTCACAATCCCACAATTCCAACCCAAAAACCTATTGATCTTATCCGCAAACACCTAACCTCTAGATCATACAGCCAATACTCAACACTGTTAATATCTAACTTCAGTCAATCTACTATCTCACAACAGATCCAATGATCATCAGGATCAACTAAGAAATAAGAAAAGGAAAAAAAAGTTCAATTACATAATACTATATGAATACTATATTATATCAAAGCCACTAATAATAATAATCAAAACCTATTTCTCTTCTTAGATCTCAATTGAAGATACCGATGATGATGATTATAAATTAACTTTAAAAAATCTTTGGGGTACAGATATAGCTAATTATTTTTTAAATCCAAATTTTCAAAAAACTACAAAAATTAAAACCATTACAAATCAATCAAATACCAATCAATCAATAAATGATAATCTTTTCATTGGTGGTTATCCAAATGGTATGTTACATGGTGCTCGTATACCATTTCATTATAAATTAAAATCATGGTTATTTGATTTAAAACAAATTAATATGAATCAATCAATTGATAATCGAAAATCAATAAAATCGATCAAATCAATGAAATCAATAAAATGTCCTATTATTTCTCATTTATCAACTAGAACAAATAGTGTATTTAATTTAATTGATTTATTAAAATATCATATAGGAATAAATTATAGTGCACAATATTTATGGAATTTATTAAGATATAAATCATATGAACAATTAATTAATTATGAAAAACAATTAACTAATGAAGAACAAATTACATATAGTGCATTTACACATGAATATGTATTAAAGGGGAAAGAAAAGGTAAACTATGAAGGAGTTTTGTTTTTATTTTTTTTTGTATTAAATTGTACAGAGATGAACTAATCATGAACAGTTGCCTGGAAACATGCCTCTCCCCCCTCCCCTACTATGAGGTGACTACTAGTCTTAAGTCGGAATAGAGGAGGAGGAGGAGGAGGGTTAGGCATAAGGTTAGCGATCTCACCTTGTAGAAAACTAATTTGCTATTTAAAAGAAAAAAAAAACGCTGAAAAATAGTGAAATTCATTAGCTTGTAAATAGGAGATTTAATGTATACGTGCCTGTAAATGCCACGTGTATACAAACACTGACAGGAAAGTCCTACTCACTGTCTTTTCTCACAATGGAGGTGTTATTTACGAAATTGAGGTCTAGAAGATCGAAGGAATGAGAATGAGAACAGAGAATGATTACTTTCGATATGAAAGAACAATGAAGTCTGAGACAATTGATTGATTAGATGGTGGTTGGAGGTAGTCAACAGGAAACCCTGGACCCGGGTTTCGTGCTACTTGGCACTCGTCAGCAAGGTGTACCTGTAATCTTGAGGGAACTGGTGCTCCCTGGCGGATTCGATAGCATTCGATCTACACTAATAAGGACTAGACAAGCATGAGATTGATCACCACCCAGTGATCAATCAATTGTGATTACATCTCAGTCCTACAGGAGGTTAGTCACGGCTCGGATAGCTCAGTGGTAACGTCTCTGACTGTGAAGCTGGGTGACACGAGATCGAATCCGCCAGGGAGCACCAGTTCCCTCAAGATTACAGGTACACCTTGCTGACGAGTGCCAAGTAGCACGAAACCCGGGTCCAGGGTTTCCTGTTGACTACCTCCAACCACCATCTAATCTCAATACATAGTGCCCGCAGTGTCGAGTCACCTAGACTGGTGGCCACATTGCAACATGATCGATAGCATTCGATCTGCACTAATAAGGACTAGACAAGCATGAGATTGATCACCACCCAGTGATCAATCAATTGTGATTACAATTGATTGATATTTTGCAAATGAAGTATTCATTGTATGGTTGAGAGTTTTTTTCAATGAGATTTTGTAACCAAACATATTCGATTGTCCCCACTTGTCTTCTCTTTCACTATAATACCAGGTAAGGATAGATTTTGTCTTTCTTCCCTCAAGAGTATTTCAGTTACCAGTCGAACTCACACACTGTAAGTCTCATCATTGAACTAAGCAACCTATTGAGTCAAGGTTTTGAAACAAGATCAAGGTAACTTTTTGCTACTATTTTAGGGCATGTTTGAGTATTATACAAAAGTAATTCTATTGTTGATTATGGATGATATTTAAATTTTGCGCAAAAAAACCCCAGAAAATTTATATTCTCGATTCTAATTGGCTTGTCTTCATTAATAATCTGATTAGGAATTAACTCATACCGGATTCATTTCTATTCTCTACTTTGTAAATTGTACCATTTCGTCCCGAAGGTTTCTTACTTCAATTGATGACCGAACATTAAATAACAAACCAATGGAAATAGTTCAGATTATGATGTTTATTGTAACTACGTTTTCACACCAGTCCATATTCTCAAATATCCGTAAACTTTAAACGTTTCAATACAAAAATATAGATAAATTCAATTTAGCATTTAATAAGATACAACCTAGAGATAACTGGGTTACAAGATACTATTATTATTATTTATTATGTGAACACATAAATATTGGAACAAAGTGGCACCGAATACATATGTACTGCACAAATCACTTGATTTGTATGTGGACTGTGATATTGCCCGAGTGTTCAGACCGAAACAGGTGGTTTTCTCAGCGGTCCACGCAAGAAGCCTAGGACTTAAACGTCTGATCCACTAGGCATTGGAGCAACGTCAGGAGATGTAGTCACATGGTAGCTGGTCATCAACAATTGGTTCATACGCCATTTGTTCCCTTAGGATCCTGAAGTCCATGTGCACCATTGGTTTGTAATGAGGGTTTTCCAACTCACCTAGGTGAACTCTCCATGTCTACCAATCCAGTTAAAGCCTTGGACATCCGCTTTTCGTCCTCTCAATTTCATGAAGAAAACCCGTGGTGCGAGAAGGCAGTGAGTAGGACTTCCCAGACAGAAGCTGTATACGCGTGGCTATGTAAGAGCATTTCGAGAGGGAGTGCTGACTCTCCCCACTCTCGGCCGTATCAGGGTATATGCGGGCGAAAACAGTGAAGAAACTAAGTGTTATTACCATACAAACTTGTCATTAAATGTTGAGCGCTTAACATTCAAATCATTGATTTGGAACCTAGTAGTTTACATCGATAACCTTAATCAATTATTGATGTCACACTTCTATCTTCGATATCATTGGTGAGATTTATCTCATATTTGGAATGACTGAACCTTACTGATCATGGCTTCTGTCTAGAATATGGGGAATTATCGCTCGCAGTAATCCACTGATAAGCACTTGATGGGTTTTTAGTATCGGACAGCTATTATTTTAATTTAATAGTTGAACTCACGAGTCGATTGAAGCTAGACCACCATAGAAAATCTGGAAGTACTGGAAGGCCGCTTCATCCTAGTATTGCACTCCTCATCAGTGTGCATCCACGATCCTACCTCTCGAGATTTGGGCCCAGACGCAGACGCCTAACCTCTAGACCACTGAGTCGGCCGGCATCCATCGGTGTTAATATCTAACTTCAACCACTCCAGTCGGCCATTGTTGCTACCTTGACGTGATGGTCGGGCTTGCCTATCGTGATTAACAAATCGAGCTATACTGGTTGGAATAATCGTTCCTCAAGGTCCAACCATGCCAGACAGCTCGGTTGAAGAGCGGTAAGACTTAAAACAGCCGACCAAAGTCCTACTGCTGACTGTACAGAGGTGTGATGGCAGTAAGGTGTTTCTTTTAGACAGTCAGCATAACAGCGATGCTACCTTCCCACAAGGAGGGGTGGGGTTAGAAAACACCTCGCCTTATCCCACAGATATCCATCTCCAGCGATGGGGTTTCAACAATTACGGAGCTAACACGAAAATTACCCACAAAAAGGTCATGTGTGACCGACCTCAAGCAGTTGTCTGTTAGGCTCTGTGATCACGCTCTCAGGTCACTAATACCACCTTTAATCCAATTTTCTTTTCAGGTACCTCCAAAAGAACCCTTCCACGGTGTAGGCAAACTGGGAAATGATAACTGTCCTCATACCTTTAACACCGCTCGACCGCTCAACTAATCCATTGTTTCTTTGTTGTTTTATTCCTTTTTTTTCTCTCTAGCCACCTTTATGTGATTTCATTCGTGAAAATCCATCAAATTCATTAATGAATATCATGAAACAGTTAAAATCACCATCTATTGAGAAACAGTTACGTAAAATGAATTTATCTGTATCATGGGCTAATAGAAATCAAGATCAATTTCGTATGATCTCATTTCAACAAAATTTAAAAGATGCAATCAAATCCATTGAAAATAATCAGTTCACATCTTCATTATTGAATCATCATCAAATGAAAATAAAACATGAATTGGATTCGAACTTAAAATTGAATGATCAACAAGTTGATCAATTAATGTCATTCTATCCTACGTTGAAAAATAAACAAAATGAAACATTCATTGATAATGATATTCAACCATTAGAAAAGTAAGTTCATTATTCTATTCTGAAGAATTGTTATGTATAGAATTGAGCTATATTGATGCATTTGAATGAATAGCATCCAAATGTCTTTGATATGGCCAAGGGTGGGAAAAGTCAGATCAGATCGATAGCATTTGATATGTACTAAGAAGGACTTGATATTCATGACATTGATCATCACCCAGTGATCAATCAAATGTGATCACCATCTCGAAATGCTCTCTCATGACCACATATATACAGCTACTGTCAAGGAAGACCTACTCACTACCTTCTCGCTACTGGGATGTTGTTTACGAAATCGAGAGGACGAAAAGAAAATATCTAGCGCTTAACCAAGTTGGCGGATATGAAGGATCCATCTGGGGGAGTTGAAAAACCCTTGGTACAGACCAATGATGAATGTGGACTCCAGGATCCTGAGGGAACAAATGGCCTATGGACCTATTGTCAGGTCACTGGCTATCATGAGACTGAATCTCTTGACATTGCTCCCCCACTGCCTTGTGAATTAGACCTTTAGGTCGAAGTCTCTGGTTATGGCCGCCTAAGAAAAACAACCTGCTTCTGTCTGGGCACCCGGACAGTATCACAGCTCACACACAAATCAAGTAACTTGTGTGGTGTATATATATTCGGTCGAAATAAAATCTTGGATAACTCTAAAGGCAACTGTGATATAACCTGATTAAACACCAGGCAATCATGATTTAACTTTTATAAATGAAATGAATATTTCGAAATAACAAAAAACAACGGGTAAATTATAAAGGGTGTATAGTTTTAGATTGTTGGCTTTCTAACGTTATTATCTTAAATGTAACACTACAAACTTTAAAACTCATAAAATAACCTCGAAGTCTCTGTATGACACTTCCAAACCACAATTAAGTTAAGTGATTTAGATCTATAGTCTAACATTTTGTGAATGACCTACCGTGGTATATGCTACTGATGTCGACAGATATAAGTATTATATGTGTCACTAATCGAAAGTGAAATACCTCGAAGGAAAGAGAACGAGAACAGAGTATGATTAGTGTTGAAACGAAAGAACAATGAATTCTGAGACAATTGATTGACATTTTGCAAATGAAGTATTTACTGAATAGTTCTGAGATCTTACTAAATGATTGTTTAATTCTATGTTAAAATACACTTGTGTTCTCGTTCACTACATTTGATGTCACTGCCAACCAGGAAATGGAAGGGTGCTGTTCTGTGAATGCCATTGCAGACCTGGAGCTGAGGTCCATAAATTCTTAAACCACTCTTTCATTTACACATTTCCGCTCACTTGATCCTCTTAAACTATGTTGAACTCTTCAAATTCTATTCAGTTCTTACGTAACCCATCTTATCAGTTTTTTAATTCCATGAACCCTTCATTACCTTTAAAATTATCACACAATTGATCTTATCAGTCTCTGAACTCGATAGACTCAACTACTTCACTGGCGATCATCAGTTTAGGCTGTGAGTCAGGTCAGTCTAAAAGTAATATTTCACATTTAGAGGGAGAGAACTATATCCGACTGAAGGATTGTTTATTATTGTCTCTTTCAAGTAGCCTAAAAGGTCATGGTTTACATCTTATCAGTATACGGTTGTGGAGATTATTAAGTTTTTTTTATTGAGATCATGAACCGATTGATGTTAGACCACCATTGAAAACCTGGAAGCACCAGACGGCCGTTTCGTCCTATTGTGGGACTACTCAGCAGTGCGCATCCACAATCTACGATCATATGTGTCTAATTTTCAAACGAAAATAATGTGAATTAGATATAACTGATTGTAATTGATTGAAATTATGATAATCAGTCAGCTAGTTTTATATTCTAAATGTTTGAAGATGAACAATAAGAAGTCCTACACTAAAGTATCAGGGTAGTTGGCACTCGTCAACGTGGCAAATCTATAATCTTATAGGAACTCACGTTTCCTGAGAGATTTAACCTAGTGTCATCTAGCTTCACAAAATTATGGGACGCTATTTGGATTACGATAAGAGTGAGATGTGGATGATACTCAATCTCATGTTTTTCCATTTCTTAGTTGTGGTCTATTTTTATTAATTTCATTAAAGTTGATGGAGTTTTGTTCTTTGAGCTGGATAGTTTGGTCGTGGAACTTTCATCGTTCTTCTGAATGGCATCATCGGCACAAATTCCAGGTATAAGTGAAATGTTCGAATTTCTCCACATTTGTCTTATAACTTGTGAATCTGTGTGCCTTGTATATTGGATAACGCAACGATACCGCCAATCAGAGAGCAGCGAATTATTGATCGAACCAGTGACGCGTAAAACACGTGCGAGCAGCCTAGAGTCCTGGTAGGTTCTGCTTTCCGCCTAGCCCAGCCAGATAAGTCCAGAACACAAGTCTCAGCCTCTGCAATATAAATCCTTATATTTCAAACATACTCTGTTTATGAGATGGTGGAGAAGATTTGTAGCTCAGGTGGATGATTTTGGTGGAGTTTTGTTCTCTGAGCTGGATGGTTTGGTCGACATCATCAGCATGCTGATGATGTCGTTCAGAAGAACGATGAAAGCTCCACGACCAAAGCATCCAGCTCAGAGAACAAAACTCCACCAAAATACTCTGTTTATACACCAATCAAACAGACCACAACGTACCATAAAATAGAAAATAACATTTGTACAAGAATTAGCCCAATGTGGCTGTGAATGTGGGAGATAGTAATTGATTGACTGGGCATAACTCAAGAATGATAAGTCGTACAATAATAGTTCATAGGTCTAAATGAAGCTCATAATAAGAGGGACATGAATATGAACAGTTTACTTATTTAACAACTATACGATAAAAATATACTCATAGTATTGGTCCATAAATGGATCCCCAAAGTTACCATTCATTATTCTTATCGCGATATAACAATTTGGTATACAGCTTGTCCTGTAGACCTCGATGTTGATTGGTTATTATCGACCTTTAACCTGTCATCGCTTACTTCTTTGTTTTGGCTGTATCTCTCATTGGTTTGACTTTTAGTCCTATGTTTGTCCATAATTTTTCTGATCCAACAAGTAACAACCAGCAGAAAACCCAGATGCAGAGTTTTGTGTTGGTTATCTACAATCACTTCATATCTATGAATACCATGTGTTATATAGAGTAATTTAGATTGATGATCCCATTGTAACTTGATTGATCAGTCTTATGATCACTCACTGAAATGCACATGAGTAATACACACAATATATACGAATTCAGTCAATTATAACTTATCATCCTTTGAATCAATGAACAAACTGTTAAATCCCGATAAGAATAATGAATGGTAACTTTTGGGATCCATTATGAACCAATACTATGAGTATATTTTTACCATATAATTGTTATGTAACTAAGCTATTCATATTGACGTCACTCTTATTATAAGCTTTTGATTTGACCGATGGACTATTATTATACGATTTACCATTCTTGAGTTATTCCCTATCTATTAATCACTACCTCTCTCACTCACAGCTACTTTTGGCCACATTTCGTACAAATGTTGTTTCATTTTTTATGGTACGTTGTGGTCTGTTTGATTGGTATCTAAACCCTGTATGTTTGAAATAAATGATTCATATCGCAGAGGCTGAGACCTGCGTTCTGGACTCAACTGGCTGGGCTAGGCGGAAATCAGGGCCAATCAGAACTCTAGACTGCTTGGACGTGTTTTACGCGTCTTTGATTCGATCGATAAGTCACTACTCTCTAATCGACGATCACAAGTTATAACACAAACTTCTATTAATACACTTTCTTTTTATTGATTATCAGTATTTCATCATTTCTACAATATATAAGATGATATATCATTTGAATGAGCATTGTACTTTTAAATCTAATATAATGAGAGATTTGATAATATAAATCACATTGAATATTGTATTCAAGTCTTGAATATGAGTTAAATATCTAATTAGCATCTTATTAAGCGTTGTAAACTGACTAGAATTGGAAGTTCGGATTGACTGATTCTAAATCAACAATGGGTTGATTCTATTGTCATTCAGAAATTTGAAACTGAGAGTTCAAACTAACAGGTTTAATCTAATCTGATGCAAGTTAATGATGAGAATTGTCATCATATAACAAAACAATCTAAATGTGGATAAAGCTAACTTATCATAATTTTTACGAAGTAAATCTTCATTAGTTTTTGTTCACATATCTATCGGACAAAGACTCTGTGACCAATGACCAATAAGCTAGCTAATGAAGTAGTTAGGAGTCGGGTACTAGATAAGGATGGCAAATCAATTGGTGAAGTAGTGAAACTTCATCTGTTGAGATGGCTGGGACATGTGTTACGTGTTCTCAACCATCGACCACCTCAACGTGCGATGTTTTATGGTGAAGGAGTAGGTCGGAAGAAAGCTAGGGGCGGCCAAACCAAAACATGGAACAAATCCATGAAGTCATTGACAAGTGGATTTAGACATGTTGGTAAGTGTAGACTACCTGGTTGGGGAACGCGAGATGATAGCAACCGATGGTTACAGACCTTGAATGACATGGCTCAAAATCGTTTGCAATAGCGCAGGTGCATCCACTCTTTGTGTTCTCCCAAATTCTAATCTTCTGAATTCTTCATGTCCCTTTTTTCCTCTTTCCAAATTTATTTCGCTGGCTCATACTCTTTGGATAACGTACTCAAGCCCTAATCTTTTGATTAGTGCTTATACTTTTACTACCTCAAGTACTATTGGATTTGAATCAGTAACTGTATGTCTGTGGTACTTTGGTATGGCAACTTGGACAGATGAACGTACGTACAAAGTTCTACGTTGTTGCTGACTGACTTAGTAAACCTATTCAATCAGTTCTGTAAAACGATATAATGGACATTCTCTTTTTAACTTCTCAGCCTGTACATACAAATAAATATATGCACACATGTTGTTCAAAGTGAGAAAAATAACAAAAATTAATAGGTGTTGAGGATTAGCAAACTGAAAATCTAATCAATCCGATATTGTTAAGCAAAACAACATTTAAATGGTTGATTTCATGAGTTAATTGAAGGTAGATCACACTGAACAGCCGTTTCGTCGTAGAATGGGACTTCTCAACAGTGGTCATATACGATCCAGGTTTTTCATGGTGGTTTAACTTCAATGGACTCATGTACTCAACTATTAAATTAATATAATATCCACAAAACCCCTTTCTGATTATTTACATACTTACTTACGCCTGTTATTCCCAATGGAGCATAGGCCACCCATTTAAAGTTCTATCCAATTTTTGTCCATCCTCCTCATATTTTTTTCCGTTTCTCGACAAAATTTGTTCTTTGGTCTTCCACTTCTCTTTTGGCCTTGAGGATTTCAAGTGAGGGTTTGCCTTGTGATGCAATTGTGTGCTTTCCTCAATGTGTATCTTATCCACTTCTAGCACTTCTTTCTGATTTCCTCCCTTGCTAGGATCTGGTTTATTCTCTCTCACAGTAGATTGTTGCTGATAGTGTCTGGCCAACGGATCTAAAGCATTTTGCATAGACAACTGTTAATAAACATTTGTATCTTCTGGATGATGGCTTTCGTAGTTCTCCAAGTTTCCGTCCCATGCAGTAGAGAATATCTCAATGACCAGAAAAACATGGGTGAGGAAACTTTCTCAATTAATAATCAGTTACTTATAAGTAGTATAGTATGTTACTAATCAACAAAGTTTATTTTCACATATAAATCTATTCAGTTACTTTCCAGATTACTCTAAAATACAAGATTCCATCAAGAAAGTATCAAAATTATCTAACAGTGAAAGTATGACAAAGAAGTCAACCAAATCATTTGATCATTTATCATTTTGGCATGCAAATCAATCAATCAAGTCTCCAAAGAAAACTGAAATAAAGTATCAGTAAGTTTTTTTAACTAAGAAAATCAATTAAAATAACGTTCAATGAATGAATAACTTTGTGGTCAAATCCTTTAATTTTCAACCCTTAGGTTCGAGTCCCGTATACGAGATCGTAGATGTGCATTGTTGAAGAATCCTATAGTAGGACAAAACTGCCATCTACTGCTTACAGGTTTTCAATGGTGATCTAACATTGATCCATTCATGATATCAGTTTAAACTCAACAATCTTCACAACCCTATACTGATAATGGTCTTTATCTTCAATAAGTCTCCATTTTCACATCTATATCGATAAGGATTATCGGTTAGTTTCACGAACCTGTAGATGTAAGATTATAACTTTGATTTGAGCTTAGATTCTTACTACGCCGCGTATAACGTGAGCACTCGACGCTAGAACACTCCCAAGTGGCAAATGAGAAGACAGAAAACAAGTGAAAGGAATGTTATTTCAAACAGGGTCAATTATGGTACAAAACTGTCAGGTATTTATAGATTTTAGTAAAAAACGAAATCATTATTATAGCTATCCAGTCTGCATACAGGGGGTTATTAACATTTGTCCAATAGAGAAGCTACACGTCGTGATTCTGGAATATTCTTCCAAAAGATGATTGGATGGATGGATCTTCGGCTCTTTCTGAGCTTCTTAGAGATTTCTCGAGTTCACCTGTTGATTGTCCTCACAGAAAATACACTTAGCATTTGGTAGATCAATCAAATTCTTTGATAGTTGAATACGGATTTAGTATTTATAAGTGAAATATGATAGATTTTATTCGAAGGGAATCACTGGAATCACTGGACGACCATTTCGTCCTAGTACAATTTATTCAGATCACACACCAGTATGAGTCGAACATCATATCAAACTCTTCATTGATGATATCTTCTAACCAACAGAATGATTTTCTACATAGTGTTTTCTTGTTTCTATTCAGATCTATAAACAATAAACAAGAGAATACTTCATATCAACTTAAATCTTTAAGAAAACCATCTAATATTTCAATATCTACTTCATCGATTGACAAGAAATTACAACCTCTTTGTTGGTCTGATCTACTTGAAACCAATAAACAAAAAAGAGATTATTCTAAACACATTAGTGGATTATATTCATCATTATCTAATGAGAATTCAAGAAATAATTCAATGGATTGTTCATTTATAAAGAAAACATTATGGAAACCAGCTAAAGCAATTGTATCATAACTTTATAATATCACATTGTCTTCATCATCATCATCATCTTCTTCTTCTTCTTCATCGTTGCCAACACTGTCAGGATACTGTAACTTAGTGAATTATCTTTGCTTTTTTTATATTATTCAGAATCCTAATGATAACAAAGAGTTATTAGAAAAAAAATAACACTGAATGGTTGTTTCGTTCTAATATGGGACTATTAAGCAAAGCGCATATGAAACAGTATCATACAAGGAATTGAAACCAAGACTTACGGTATCGTACATGAATGCTTAAACACTAGACTATTGAGCCCGCGTACATTGGTGCATACATTCCAAATTTCAGTTAGTTAATGATATTGTGTGACAGTTTTTTCATCCTCGTATTGTGTAAATCTTATTTTCCAACTATTCTAAGTATTGTCATATACTTACTTACTTACTTAATTACGCCTGTTACTCCTCGTGAAGGAGCATAGGCCGCTCATCATTATTCTTCATCCAACCCTGTCCTGGGCAATCCTTTCCAGCTCTTTCCAGTTGTTATTCATCCTTCTCATATCTACTTCCATTTCCCCACGTAATGTCTTCTTTGGTCTCCCTGTTTTCTGCTTCCCTTCAGGATTCCAACTCAGGGTTTGCCTCGTGATACAGTTTGATGATTTGCGTAATGTATGTTCTATCCATTTCCATCGTCTTCTCCTAATTTCTTCTTCATCTGGAAGCTGGTTTGTCCTCTCCCAGAGAAGGCTGCTGCTGATGGTATCCGGCCAATGGATGTTGAGTATCTTGCGTAGACAATTATTTATAAATACTTGTACTTTCTTGATGGTGGTTGCTGTAGTTCTCCAAGTTTCAGCTCCGTACGGTAAAACTGTCTTGACGTTCCTATTGAAGATTCTCACTTTGATATTGGTTGACAGACAGTTGTTTTGAGTTCCATATGTTCTTCAATTGTAGGAATGCGACCCTTGCTTTGCCAATCCTCGCCTTTACGTCTGTATCTGATCCTCTTTGTTCATCGATGATGCTTCCCAGATATGTGAAGAATTCTACATCTTCCAGAGTTTCGCCATTAAGAGTGACTAGATTGCTGTTCTCCGCTTTGAATTTCAGGACCTTGGTTTTCTTCTTGTGTATGTTGAGGCCTACTGATGCAGAGACTGCTGCTACACTGGCTGTCTTTATCTGCATTTGTTCATGTGTATGCGATAGGAGGGCTAGGTCATCTGCGAAGTCCAAATCGTCTAATTGATTCTGAGCTGTCCATTGTATTCCGTGTTTTCCTTCAGATGTTGAGGTCTTCATAATCCAGTCGACCACCAGAAGAAAGAAGAAGGGAGAGAGTAAACAGCCTTGTCTGACTCCGGTCCTTACTTGGAATGCACCTGTCAGCTGTCCTCCATGCACGACCTTGCACCGTAGTCCGTCGTATGAGTTCCGGACAATGTTGACAATCTTCTCAGGAACTCCGTAGTGTCGAAGAAGTTTCCATTGTCACATACTTATTCGTGTACTTGCTGTAATGTAAACATTCGATCCACTGTGTAAGATTATATGTAAGTCTGTTTGAGCGCATGTCTGCGTAGCAGTCTTTATGTATTCTTGATTAAGATCATGGGTCGATCAACGTTAGACCACCATCGAAATTCTGAAAACACTGGACGGTCGTTTCATCCTAATATAAGACTACTCAGTAAACATCCACGACACCGCATGAGGAATTCGAACCCAGGTCCTTGGGTCTCGAGCGGTTTTAAACACAGTCAATCAATAACTTACCCACAGTCGACTAACACTCATAAAGATATATGGATTTTTTTACAGTCACACACACTCGCTTCCCTATGTGTTTGCTTTCTCCATGATTTCGAAGTTTTACTAATTTTTAATAATTTACTATCTCTACAAATGGTGTTCTCATTTTTGAATAATCTCAAGTGAACTCTTAATATCACTAGGAGATTTGACCCACGTCAAATACTCAGTTAACGGGATACTATTTATTGGAGTTAGATGTGGAGGAAATTAGCCTCTATCTGTATATTCAACTAAATGCATATGGATATGAACAAGTATGACAATCCAGTAATTTCACTTATATATATATGATGGAATCTTCAACAGGTGGAATGTGATTCTCCTGGATAGAATGGTCAAACTGACCAATTAGTGGCTAGCAATAGAATCCAGGATTTTCATTTTGTTCCATTTAGGATTCTTCAGCTGGATATACCTGAATCTCAGGACTCGAACCCAGTACCGTTCGTTTCAAACTCCATCGTGTTTGAGATGCAGATACATCTAGATGATGAGTCTCAACAAGAACGAAATGCGCGTCCTGGATTCCACTGTTAACCACAATCCATCTTTTCTAAGAATGCTTGTGAATTAAGGCATTATCGAGGCAATACACACAGTATGCATATATGCTAATAAGAGAGAGACCGATCACTTGCAATCCTAAACATCAATGGGAAGATTCAAGCAAACAACACTAAGTGAATTTAAATCATTCAGTTCTTTGTCTTTCCTTATTGTTAAATAGTTTTATTTATGTAGTTATCAATGTTTCTTAACACAAATCATAACTTGGTGGGAAGACTTTACCCCCCTCCTTTCAAATATAAATTGCATTACAACTGATAAAACCTCATTTATAGACACCAAATTTACATGTTCATATTCAATGAGGTACATGCTGCTTAGTTGTTGTTATATTCGGTCGTCGCAATTGTTGTGCCAGAAAAACAAAAGCGCTGAATCACTTATATACTCGGAACGAGGGACCTCTGCAATTCCCACGACGCGAAAGTAAGAACAAAAAGACTGGTATAAGTGAAGATTTATTACCCCCAAACACTATGACGACGACGACGAATCCAAATAGTCTAAAATACGCTGGTTTATATATTGATTGTTCACCCATTTTGATTAATAATTCGGATTAAATCACATACTCAGTTATAACAAATCACACACTGGGCATAGTTCATGCCAATGGAATACAAGAATATCGTATATTATACTGGAAAAACAAACCAAATACTACGTTGAATGATCCTCACGTTGAATCAGACGGATGTTGAATAAAATTCATAATGAGTAAATCAATCGAAAATTGACTTTTATTTCCATCATATCAAGCAATAATTAATCTATTGAGTATAACTCGGATCCTAACACACCTCCGGGTTCGAACCCATGCGGGGAAACCCCAATGGATTATTATTATTATTATAACAAGCTAGCGGCTATCTGGATATAATAACTAAGTAATTGAGGCGAAAGTTGATTGGTTCGAGTTCCACTGTGAATATTAACATTGAGATTTAGGTATATTCAACTGACAAGTCCCAAATAGAACAAGATGCACAACTTTAGCAAATGTATTGGAAACACCGATAGGTGAAAGTATCTTCTAAAGTTGTTTAATATTAAGTTTCTATGAGTTATACATTAAGTGTATTGATTATTAATTTTTTGAATGATTGTGCTTACATAGAGTCATAAGGACTACGTTTTAATCTTAAACGATGACTATTGAACTGAAAGACAGAATTCTGTCAGGACCAGTCAGTCAACTACAACGTAGGACCAGGCACATTTGTGTATCGGTCCAAGTTGCCATACCTCATTAGCACAATAAGATGGATACTGAAATTAGAGAAGAAGGTAATTCAGTGGTGGTAATATATAAAAGAAAGATTACATATAAAGATATAATACAGGAAGAAAGAATTAGTTCGTAGAAAGAAAGATATGAAGCGATTTTAATTTCACTGTTTAAGGGAAGACAAAGTGTATACACCGACACCATTGTGATCGATCCTGAGTCATATCACCCACAGTCTCCAACCATTGGTTACGATAGTCACGCGGACTCCAACCAAGTAGTCTCCATCTATCAATATGGCTGAGATTAGAAGTTAGTGACTTCAAGGATTGATGCGACGTTTTTTGTTTGGCCACCCCTAACTTTCTTCCATCCGTCTCCAACACTAGTCAGCATTGTGAGTCATGGTAATCAGTGTTTAGGTATACGTAACATGTGGCCCAACCACTTTCATCGATGAAGATTTACAACTTCATCAACTGATTTACCATCATTCCCTAATACTCTGAATCTAACCTCACTATTGCTTACATGGTGATCCCATCAGATGCGAGTAATATTTCTAAGACATCTGTGATCAGTTACCAGTAACTTACAAGTACCTTCTACTCTTAATAGTTATGTTTCACAATCGTAAATAATACTAATAATACTTAATAAGCAATCCATATGATTCCTAACCATCTTCTATTGAATAGTTTTACATATTCAACCTACCACAGTTACGATAATGATGATAAATCTTCAAAAAAAAGAGAAATCTCACTAGCAGATTAGGTAGTAGACTAGGTAACATGTAGACATCTTATGTCAAAAAAAGAAAGAAAGAAAAAAGGAAAACACCAGTAACAATAGGAATGAGTAGTTAGGCTAAGATGACTAGAAAACAAACGATGGAACTTCTAAATAGAGTAAAAAAATTAACGGCGTCAGACTGAAAACAAACCAAAACAGACATCCATCTTCATATTATAATATACTATACTAATATAATAATAGTCTACTATGGAAGAGAACAAACCAGATTGCAGTGGGGGAGGAAATCAGGAAGAAGTACTGGTAGTGTATAGGATGATACATAATGAAGAAAGCATCCAACTGTGTCATAAGGCAAGCTCTTACTTGAAATTTTCAAGGCCAAAGGAGAAGAGGAAGACCATAGAACACATTACACTGAGAAATGGGAACAGACATGAGAAGAATGAACAACGATTGGATAGAAGTAGAAAGGAAGGCAGAGGACAGAGTGGGTTGTAGAGTGCTGGTCGATGGCCTATGCTCCTTCATTAGGGGTAACAGGTGTAAGTAAATAAGTAAGTAATACAATAATAGGACTGGGGAGCTGAGATTATGAGAATTCGATTAATACACAATACTTAGATTGGAATGCATTATACGAGATATATAAA